CAATCAATTCATTATATTACATATATCTTCGATCCCACCTAGTCACCGGATCGGTGACCGCCATTACCATTATCTGAGTTAGATCAAAACTTAGGGTGCTTCTTGATAGAGATACCTGAGAATGTCTATTTCACATGTGAGATGGTGCAGACGGTTGCATTTGGGCGCCAGATAGGGTAGCCGGGTAAGGTTATAATGACTACTTAGATAGGTTAAAAGTATATATAAATATATGTAATATTTGTTTAAATAAGTAATAAAGTTAATGACAAAATCGTCGAAGTTAAAAAAAAAAAAAAAACATTAATCACAGCACTTACTTCTGTTATTGATGCTATTGGCTATCTAGAATCAAGAAGTGCTATATTAGCTAACAATTTTAAAAACTAATAGCTATTTATAATACTATTTCTGTGACAAATATTCCAGTAGATAGATTTAAAAATTATATTTTGGCTACTAGTATTTACTTTGTTACTTTTTTCTTATCACCAAGCCACAAGCAAATTGCAATGTCAAAAATAATGTTTGGAGATTTAATTATTAAGGCTTCATTAGAGTTAGCAAAAAATTGGAGTTTGATAAAAGAGAAGCAACTCTTTTATTCAAAGAGCTTATTAATTACAAAAATGAAGACGCACCTTTTGATAATTTTAGAAATATTAGTGATATTAATTCTCGAAACTTCTGAACACAGTTTACAGAAAGTTTACCACTTCTTCGACGTTTTGCTATGAAAGTTCTTGTAATTATTTCATATTCAGCAGCTATTAAACAGTTGTTTTCTAGTTTGGAGTTAGTTAAAACAAAGTCAAAAAAATAAAATATCTCTCACTTTAATCGAAATGCTTGAAATGTTTCATCATAATTTTCAACAAAAACTACTCAAAGTGCTAAAAAAATAAACTTAAAAAAAAAAAGATCAGGTCTCATCAGTAGATACTACTCTAAATATAGAAAATGCCAATATCAACTTTCTTTTAAATAAAAGATTTGATAAAAAGTTTTTACATATTGATGTCGAAGCAGTAAATCTTAATACAAATGATGAGCCAACAATAGAACAATTCTTTAATGTTAAAACCTTTAAACAAAACCCAAATACAACTAAAGAATTTTAACTGTTAGTTTATATGAGTCTACTGTTGCCAACAAAAATTGGTCAATTGAGGAGATTTTCCAGTTCTAATTGGTTATTCATCACTAATGCAAGAAAAAAAAAATATTTAACATTCTACAAATTTTTGACCTAGATCTTATAGTTTAAAATTTTTATCTTATCTATATTTTATCCTAGTAAATTGGATATTCTTTTAAAAAAACCAAAAAAAAAGAAAATATTTTTCTCTAAAAACAAAAAAAAAATCATTATTCATTTCTATAAATATGTTTACCTTTACTGTTAATGTTAATAAATATAAAATTGAACTAGGCTATTATGTAGAATGCAATTTTTTTAAAAAAATCGAAATGCAGTATAACATAGTACATCATTGTTATGTGTATATCTTCGTGCAAAAAATAAATTTAAATAACGATAATAAATAAATTTAAAAAACAGATAAATAGTGGTTGAATCTAGCTCAATCCGCTAGATTTTTACATCTAGTCATAACCTATCCAATAAAATCTGTTGAATCCGGTGAATTATATAGTATGAATATATAAAAGGTTATAAGTGGCATGCTATAGACATGCCAGGGTGGCATCTTGGCATTAATTTAGAAAATAGTATGCTATATTTGCTACAACTAACACACATCAGATGACCAATTATCAGGTGACATGTGTTACTTTGAAATCGGCATCTAACATGCATCAGTTTAGATCCGATGCGAGAATCGATCTGAGGCACAACATACAGTATATATATATATTATATAAAAAATATAAAATGTAGCACATTTGGTGCTAGTATGACAGACATTCTAGTTAATACATTAAGGTTACACAAAATTTTGCATATCAAAATCATAGGAACAAGAAATATGTCATATGACTACACATTAAAAAAATCAGCTGTTCTTTACAAGACTTGGCCAGATCGTTTGTTAGGTATATTACAAGAGAATTGTAGCGACCCATTATTGAGATCACCAGATCTACAGAACTTTTATTAGAAGTAATTTTTATAGCAGTGATAATATATAATATATGAATGAATTTAATTTTTTTTTTTTTTGTTTCAGTAATAACTTAGAAAGAGATTAGTAGCTTTAACAGTATTCATACAGAGACTGCATTTTATTGCTCCTTCTACTGTAATAGTACATATTTACCAATGCTCTATTTTATAAATCTTTACTGCTAGTCTAAATGAAGTATCTAGTGCTTTTTCTATTTCCTCAAAACCTTCATCTGTGCCTTTCTCTATATCATTTTTGTCATTGTCAAGATCTTTCTTTGTAAGTTTATTTTTTTTTTTTCAATTTGTTTTAGAAACGAATTAACATTCTCGAAAATCTCTTTCTTATAATATTTTTTGCAGTACTTATACTTTTTATTATAACAAACTTTATGATAGCCGTGACCACAAATATACACTATACTGTTATCATCATTTAATGGAAGACCACAACAATCATATAGTACAGGGTGTAGTGGATGAGATGTACTGTATGCTGTTGGTAGGTATCATAGATCTACTTCTTCTTTCAAAGTAGCTAGTTGGTATATTTCAGGTGGTTTTTTTTTTGGAGATTTTTTTTGCAGGGGCTTTGGTAGGGTTTTTTTAATAGAGGTTTTGTTGGTAGAATTTTTTTTAGTCGTTTTTTTTTGTATATTTATTTTCTCTGCATTCTCTATAGTTTTTTTGTTGGGGTTTGGAATGCTTTTTCCATGATTATGAAATACTTCTTGAAAAAATTGTAAAAGAAAAAGTGCCATTTTTTCATATAAGAAATTGAGAGTTGCAGCATTATACAGATATCATCATGTTTTATAATATGTGTCTTTAAACACAGGATTATAATCCATAATAACATATGCTTGCTTTATAACATTTTTTACTGTTGTATTTTTTGATATATTGGCACGAATTCGGCTATGAGTGTTTTCTATATAGTATTCATTAAAACTAGTCAAATAATTTTTTATAATATTTAAAAAAGAATAATTGTTATCATTCTAATAGAATAAATTAGACAAAAATATAAAGAAGGCCTTATTATAGTTCTTCCATTTTCATCGCAGAGCGAAGGTCCAAATACAAAAGACTCTTTTTACATATTCACTAAATAAGCCTGATCAAAATAGAGTAGCATAGATTTGAGTATCGACGAAATTATATTATTAAGTAAGTCAATCAACATTTGATACTTGATATCTTTGTATATTTTTCCAAATTTTTTTATAATTTTGTTCTTTATTTTTAGCTAGCCATTTCGTGCGAGCTCCAATAAGAGGTTTATCCTTTAGGGTCAAGGTTTCTTTGCCAATTTTTTTTTTTTCCAAATACGTAATAGAACATTTTTTCAAAAAAAAGAATGGTAAATTAGTATAACATGTTTCTTGCTATTTAATGATAAATGAAGTGGGCCCAACATGGGTAAAAATGATTCGATTTGTTGTGGAATAATGAAATTTGTATTGGATAATTTTTGCAAATATAGCAATTTTCTAATAAAAAGCTGGCCAGGCCAGTCAGCGACAACAGGTGTGACTTGTTTATCTAAATGCTGTGTTTAACTATTTATTAAAAGAATAATATTTAATGTATTAAGATAATCCTCTACAAAATGCAAGTGTTGTTCTCTAAATTCTACGAGTTGAAGTCTCCTTATTGATCTCTCCTCCTTACGTTCTATTATGTTGTTAGCATAGCTATGTATCGTTAGCATTTCAATTGGATTAAATGTATTGATTATTAAACCTTGTGAAATTTTGTATGATTGATGGTCCGTATATGAAATATCAAAAACCCTAGTATATATATTTAATAAATACCAGCAGATTCTCAATGCTTCAATGTTTTCCGGATTATAAACAAACACTCCGTTAGACATAAGTTGTACAGAAAAATGTTCAATAACTAGTTTTGCTACACAAGTAGCAAAATGATTTGCAGTCGAAGTTGATACAGTATCAGGTCTACGATTTTCATAGATTGCATGATAATCATCAATATTGTAAATGTAAAATAAATTTTTCTATTATATGTATAAAAATATACAATTTAAATTTTATTAATAAATGCCGCAGATGATGCTAAAATCAGATGATGCTGAAATTCACGTGATCACATGATGATCTCCGCTATTATATAGTAAAAGTTAAAAAATATTTTAAAACTA